AAAGGAGCGTCCCATCTGCAGCCGGCAGCTTTCAGTCTGCCCTGGTACTCCTACTTCTGCTTGGATGTGGCTGTTTTCATCATGGCCGTCCTCGGAGCCCTCGTCTGGGTTTCAGTCCTGGTCTGTAGGGTTCTATGCTGCAGGAGGTTCAGGAGGAAGATAAAAACAGAGTGAAATGTTTCAAGTTATTTAACTTCAGATGACACATTGCAGATTCTTATTTTTCTTTTTCAGAAAATAAAGATCCTAAATTGTAGATTGAAAATATTTACCAAATAAAAGTTTTTTGTCAGACATGTGTCAGGTGTTTTGGTTAGTACTTTACTGATACCTCATGAAGTCCTTCATACTTTACAAGGCACCACCCCTCCATTAACCAAGCTTCCTGGTCATAAAAATTTCTATTCTAAGCCATGACAAAATGTAAAAAATCTAAATCCTCAAGAAAACAGCACCATCTTTTTTTTCTACCAATGTTTTATTTCACTCTTTTGGGGGATTTTATTAAAAAAAATGTTGATGAAGGTATTTATCTTGTTATCTGTAATTATGAATGAACCAACTCCTGTATATTATTATTAGAAATGTACAGCTTTCCTTCTTTATATTATATCACCATAAAATGGACATGTAAAGAGCATGTATGATACTTCAGGCTGAATGTACCTTTTTAACACATAGCTGATCACACACAGACACACAGTCTTATCAATGAGATCAGAGTTCAGTACTGAAATCCACAAACCAATGTACGATCATATTGTGCACAGTTTGGCCTTATTGTAAGCTCGAGCTCTGAGGAGAAAGTAGAAGTAGTTTTGTCAAATTTAAACTGGCAGCACGATTGTTTTGAAATTACTCTCACATGAGGAAAACTAATGTTTTTTATGATCGTGATTTCACGGCAAATATTCCACATTTATGTCCACAACTTCGCATCTGTTTTTCATGCAGCTTCCTAGAGATGTGAGTCAATGTTAGATGAAAGAACATATATTAAAATAATAGTGTGGTGTTGTTGTTCAGAGTGTTTCCTGCCTTCTTTGTCATCGTGCAGCAAACCACACAGGGCTGGTGAATTGTGGTGCGTGTTTTGAGATGCAGCAATGACAGTGTCAGTGTTTTCACACTGCAGCTTCCTGTGTGTTCTCACAAGAGTAACTCACTATAGACTATGTAGTATGAGACTACATGATAATTTTACCGACCGAGATTTCTCTACTGAGCTTTTAAAAGACAGTATCTCCGACTGCTGCTGGTAAAGTCTAGTGAAGCTCACATGGCAGTGACTCCATCCCCTTCTTTTCTATGTTTATATGGCTGTTTGAACAGAGAACCACGGTGGCCCTCATGTGCAAATCACAATGGCAAATAAGAAAACACAAACAGCAAATAACAAAACACAACGGCAGTTGAGAAAGCACAGTGATATACACAGAACACAACAGAAAATAAGAAATCACAGAAGCAAATAAAACGACAAATCAGAAAACAGAACGGCAAATACAAAAACACAACGAATCAGAAAACACAACGGCACAATGATAGATTACAAAAGAACATGGACGTCCATCCATCAGTGGTGAGCCTTATAATAGCAGGTACCTAAGTTTTCTATTTTGTGTTTTGTGATTATTATTTTTTTTTAATATGTCATTGTGTAGGAGTAGTTCATCATGCTGCTGGGACCTTGTCCGGGGACACTTTCCCCTGCTGATTTGCTGTCCGAGTACACTGCACTAGGGCGTGCACAGGGTCATGGCGACCTACATGCTGAGCTCTGGAGCACACAGGGTGGCAGTAATGTCTCTGGGGACTGATCAGTTCATGAGTGGCTTATCAGTAACTCAGAGATCGGTGACATTTAAATGAAACAAAGTGAGTGAGTAGACCCTCCTCTCTTTTAAACCATGTGATAAAAATACTTATAACACCCATTGTCTCAACATACCCATTCTTCAAGAACACAATTTCAATTGTGTCACTTTTTTTCACTCTGTGGTGCCTGGGAAAAATGTATCCTGGTAAATTCAACATATTTGCTAAAAAGTTTTGGAGATTAACTTTTACATTTTTCTACATGGTTGTTTATCTGCTCTTTATTTCTGTGCAGGGTTTTGATTTCATCTGTCATTTAAGTTCTTGGAAATCAGACACACACACACACACAC